TAGAAACACTCGAGCCTACATGATAGAGTGAGACTCAGTCTCAAAAAAAAAAAAAAAGAGAGAAAGAAATGGATAAAAGACTTGAACAGGCATTTCACCAGAAAAAGAAACCAGTAATCACATAAAAAGTTCAATGTCAAGAGCAATCAGAAAGCAAACCAAAACCCATATGAGGCACTCCTTCCCTCCCTCCACATTGGACCAGTGAAAAAACTTGGACAATTCAAAGTGTTGGCAAGAACTTAGAACCAGGCACGGTACCTCATGCCTGGAATCCCAGTACTTCAGCAGGCCGAGGCAGGAGGTTTGCTGGAGCTCAGGAGTTTGAGACCAGCTTGGGCAACACAGGGAGACCCCATATAAAAAATAAATAAATAAAATTAGCCAAGCATGGTAGCACAGGCTTGTAGTCCCAGTTACTTGGGAAGCCGAGACAGAAGGATTGTTGAGCTCAGGAGGTGGAGGCTGCAGTGAGCTGTAATTACATCATTGCACTCCAGCCTGGGCCTCAGAGTGAGACTATCTCAAGAAAAAACAAAAACCAATAACAAAACATAGAGGAACCGATGATTACACTGTGTTGGTATGATGTAAATTGCCAGAGTCCCAATAAAAAACACGATGTTATCAGGTGAAGCTTAGCATATACGCATTTTCTTTTCTTCGTCTTTCTTTCTTTCTTTTTCTTTCTTTCTCTCTCTCTCTCTTTTTTTTTTTTTTTTTTTTTTTGACAGAGTCTTTCTCTGTCACCAGGCTGGAGTGCAGTGGCATGATCTCAGCTCACTGCAACCTCCACCTCCCGGATTCAAGCAATTCTCCTGCCTCAGCCTCCCGAGTAGCTGGGACTACAGGGATGTGCCACCACGCCTGGATAATTTTTTGTATGTTCTTAGTAGAGCTGGGGTTTCACAATGTTAGCCAGGATGGTCTTGATCTCTTGACCTCGTGATCCGCCCACCTCAGCCTCCCAAAATGCTTGGATTATAGACGTGAGCCACCGTGCCTGGCCGCATATATGTATTTTCTGACTCAGCCATCCTTACTCATGTGTGCCAGCACACAAGTCGGGTCTGAGGATGGTCATAAAAACTTTTTTTTGTAATAAACCTAAACTTGAAACAACCCAAAAGTCCACGACCTGGAGAACAGATGAATAGCCAATAGAAGATTCATACAAAGGAATACTATGCAGCAGTGAAAAATGCAAGCCTTACAGCCACATGCAGCAATATAGATGAATATCAGCAGAATCACACTGAGCAAACAAAACAGATTAGCAGACCAGGTGCAGTGGCTCACACCTGTAATCCCAGCACTTAGGGAGGTTGAGGTGGTGGATCACCTGAGGTCAGGAGTTTGAGACCAGCCTGGCCAACATGGTGAAACCCTGTCTCTACTAAAAATACAAAAATTTTCACTGCAACCTCCGTGGTGGCCCATGCCTGTAATCCCAGCACTTTGGGAGGCCCAGGTGAGCAGATCACCTGAGGTCAGGAGTTCGAGACCAGCCTGACCAACATGGAGAAACCCCATCTCTACTAAAATTACAAAAAAATTAGCTGGGCATAGTGGCACATGCCTGTAATCCCAGCTACTCGGGAGGCTGAGGCAGGAGAATCGCGTGAACCTGGGAGGTGGAGGTTGCGGTGATCTGAGATCGTGCCATTGCACTCCAGCTTGGGTAACAAGAGTGAAACTCTGTCTCAAAAAAAGAAAAAAAAAAAATTCCAGGCGAGGTGGAAGGCGCCTGTAATCCCAGCTACTCGGGAGGCTGAGGTAGGAGAATCGCTTGAACCTGGGAGGCAGAGGTTGCAGTGAGTGGAGATCATGCCACTGCACACCAGCCTGGGTAACAGAGTACAGCTCTGTCTCAAAAACAAACAAACAAACAAACAAACAAACAGATTAGTAAAGAATGTGAACAAGGTCAAATGAGGTGGCTCACGCCTCAGCACTTTGGGAGTCCAAGGCAGGCAGATCATTTGAACTCCAGAGTTCAAGACAAGCCTGGGCAACATAGTGAGACCCTCATCTCTAATTAGGCAGGCATGGTGGTGCATGCCTGTTGTTCCAGGTACTTGGGAGGCTGAGAAAGGAGAGGATTGCCTAAGCTCAGGAGCTCATACCACTGTACTACAGCCTGGGTGACACAATAAGACCTTGTCTCAAAAAAATAGAAACATGCAAGAGGTAACCATGTATTGTTTGCTGACAAGCATGTGGTAAACTATAAGGAAAAGGAAGGAAATGAAAAGAAAAATTTGTGCTAGTTCTTCCATCTGCAGAGAAGGATGATGAGATTGGGGAGAGGCACACAGGGGTCTTCTATTGTGATGGTAATGTTTTTTACCCAAGGCTGTCTTTGCTGCTCCTTATAGTATACCTACATCTCACTGATGTTCGATAAAAATTTAAGACCGGGCATGGTGGCTCACGAGCCTATAATCCCAACATTTTGGGAGGCTGAGGCAGGAGGATCACTAGAGCCCAGGAGTTTGTGACAGCCTGTGCAACATGGTGAAACTCTGTCTCTACAAAAAATACAAAAATTAGCTGTGCTGATTTTTTAAAAATTTAAAGCAGTGACAGATACAAACATGGTTACTATTAGGCATTAAGATTACAACTGGGGCCAGGCGTTTTGGGTCATTCGTGTAATCCCAGCATTTTGGGAGGCCAAGGGGGGTGCATCACTTGAGGTCAGGAGTTCAAGACCAGCCTGGCCAACATGGGGAAACCCTATCTCTACAAAAAACACAAAAAAATTAGCCAGATGTGATGGCGAGTGCCTGTAATCCCAGCTACTCAGGAGGCAGAGGCAGGAGGATCACTTGGAGGTGGAGGTTGCAGTGAGCTGAGATGGTGCCACTGCACTCCAACCTGGGCTACAGGTTGAGACTCTGTCTCAAACAAAACAAAACAAAACAAAACAAAACCAAAACTGGTTTTCACATGTTTTTTGTTTGTTTTTTTGTTTGTTTGAGATGGAGTCTTGCTCTGTTGCCCAGGCTGGAGTGTATTGGCACCATCTCCGCTCACTGCAAGTTCTGCCTCCCAGGTTCACACCATTCTCCTGCCTCAGCCTCCTGAGTAGCTGGGACTACAGGCGCCCGCCACCATGCCCGGCTAATTTTTTTTTTTTTTTTTTGTATTTTTTAGTGGAGATGAGGTTTCACCATGTTAGCCAGAATGGTCTCGATCTCCTGACCTCATGATCTGCCTGCCTTGGCCTCCCAAAATGCTGGGATTACAGGCGTGAGCCGCTGCGCCCGGCCTACAACTGGTTTCACATGTTAACTCATGTAATACCTCCAGCAACCTTGTGAGGCAGGACTTGCTATCATACTCATTCTACAGGTGGGGAAACTGAGGCACAAAGCGGTCACATGACCTGCCCAAGGCCATGCTTGTGATGAGAGGCAGAGTTGGGTTTTGAACAATGGCCTCACTCAACTCCATCCATGCACATTCTGCATTTATGAAGCTCTTTCTTTTTTTTTTTTTTTTTTGATTTGGAGTCTGGCTCTGTCACCCAGGCTGGAGTGCAGTGGCCAGATCTCAGCTCACTGCAAGCTCCGCCTCCCGGTTTTACGCCATTCTCCCGCCTCAGCCTCCCAAGTAGCTGGGACTACAGGAGCCCGCCACCTCGCCCGGCTAGTTTTTTTGTATTTTTTGGTAGAGACAGGGTTTCACCGTGTTTGCCAGGATGGTCTCGATCTCCTGACCTCGTGATCCGCCCGTCTCGGCCTCCCAAAGTGCTGGGATTACAGGCTTGAGCCACCGCGCCCGGCCGAAGCCTTTTCATGTGGGCTGGGGGCAGGAAGCCCTGTGGGGCTCAGCCTTTCATACTATTTTAGGTGCCAGTGATACAGTGAGCAGGTTGCAGGGCAAGGGGCCCACATGGAACTGCCCAGTTAGATATGTGGGGAGGGGGCCAGGCGCGGTGGCTTAGGTCTGTAATCCCAGCACTTTGGGAGGCTGAGGTGGGCGGATCACCTGAGGTCAAGGGTTCAAGACCAGGCTGGCCAACATGGTGAAACCTCGTCTCTACTTAAAAAAAAAAAAAAAAAAAAAAAAAGCTGGGCACGGTGGCACGCTCCTGTAGTCCCAGCTACTCGAGGAGGCTGAGGCAGGAGAATAACTTCATCCCAGGAGGCAGAGGTTGCAGTGAGCCAAGATGTGCCACTCCAGCCTGGGCTACAGAGGGAGACTCCAACTAAAAAAAAAAAAAAAAAAGAGGGGAGGAATGGCAGAGTTTCATTGGGGTCAGGGCCCAATCAGAGGAAGGGATGGGGGCTGGGGGACTCCAGAGAGGAGAAACAAAGGCTCAGCTTGGGGCAGTCATGGAAGGCTTCCTGGAGGAGAGGATATTCAGACAAGACATTGATGGATGAATAGGAGTTTTCCAGTTACACAGTGGCATGAAGGGTGGGATCCAGTCAGAGTGTGGGCAAGGACCCATGGGCTGGGTGGCTTAGAGACACAGAGAGAGACCTAGACAGGATGCAGTAGACCTGCAAAAAGACTGTACAGAGAGAGGCTAAGAGACACATGACTGAGAGAGAGCAGTGGACAGAGTCAGAGGAACAGAGACCCAGGGAGAGAAAGAGACCAGGCAGCAGAGTCAGAGACACCGAGACGTAGAGACAGAGGAAGAGAGATACTCAGGGAACAGGACGATCTGCTCGGTGCTGGTGCCGGGTGTACACACAAGAGCTTGCATTTGCCTGTACTTGCTTGAGTATCGCAGGGAGGAGTTTGCCCAGGTTACCAGGGCAGGAATGTCCATGCATGGGTCGGGGGGACACGTGCACCATTTCAGTGCAGGTGGGGGTCTGCACAGGAGGAAACCTGCTTGAGGGCCGCCCTCGCCCCTAGTCCTCCCTGCAACGAGGAGGTTTGGGGCGGGGCGCCCCTTCCCGGAGCCAGGCCCTTTAACGCCCCCCCAGCCCGCAGCGCCCCCGCCCCATCAGGCGTCCCTGGGCTCCGCCTGCCCGCCCCGCATCGGCGCCACGTCAGGCGCTGTCCGCGCCCCCGGTGCTGAACCAAGATGGCCGGTGGCGGCCGGGCCCCGGCGTGAGCCAAGCGCGGGCTGCAGCCGGGAGATGCCCCAGCCCAGCGGCCGCTGAGCCCGACCCGACAGAGCCGGCCCGGCCGCCTCCGGTCCGCCTGCGAGCCCGGAGACATGTCTCTGCTGTGCGTTGGAGGTAGGAGGCGAGGCTGGGGGTCGGGGTACCCGTTTGGACGCGGGCTGGGCTCGGGGTCCGCATGGATGCAGCTCCTAGGGGAATCCTGGGGGGTGGCCCGAGTCCAGGCGGCTGGACTTTTGAGAGGGGTAGCCCTTGTCGACGCAGCAGGGCCCCGGAAGGGATGATCCGTGTAGACACGGCAGGGCTCTCGGGGGTCCTGGTGGCCGCTGCTGGAGGGGTCGTGTGGATGCGGCTGAACGCGGAGGCCCGTGTGGACGTGGACGAGGATCCGGGGTTCTACCTGGAAACGATCTAGACTGGGGCGTCTGTGTAGACTGGGTTTTTAGAGGGTCAGTGAGGAAGAGTCTGGGCTGGGTAGTTTGATTGAAGCCTGCAGGGGTACTTGGAAGGGGTCTGGTGTTGTGGGCTGGGTTGCGGGTCCTCATGGACGCGGACCCGGCTGGAAATTCGAAGGAGAGTGCGGCGGGAGGGTTCTCCAAGCCGTGGGGATGTAAGATGTGGGTAGAGGGGCTTGGCCATCAGGACATCCACGAGTTCTAGGATTCTCCCAGCCCTGGGTGTAAAGAGGACTGGAGTGGGGGGAGTGTGGAGACAGGAGACCCCTCCCAATGTCCAGAGAGGGCTGTGACTGGGGGTCTGGGGGCGCTTTTCCAGTTAACTCTTTGGTCTCCCGAGTGAGGGGGTTGGAGGAATGGCCAGAAGGTCTTCCCGCTCCCTGCCCCCTCCGGTTCTCCCAAACACGTTTCAGGGCTTTCTTGGCAGTGAGCCTACTTCTTGGAAGAGCAATGTCCCCTGGTCCCCCTCCCGGCCCATCCTCACCTCACCCACTTTGTGCTGGAGAGAGGGAGGGAGGGAGACGTGGGGTGGCGGGGGGAGCTATTTTGGGGCCAGAACGCCATCTGCACAGAGGCCCACGCCCAGGCCCACGCTATGCGTTGGGGTTGGGGGAGGGAGGGAGACGTGGGAGGGGCATGACCCCCTACCCCACACCTTTATGGCTCTGGGGTTGGGGAGAAGCCAGCCCACCCGAACCCAGGCGTTCTGGGCACTCCCGTTTGAGAACTCAAGCTCTGGGAGACCTTGGGCGGCAAGGGTGGAGGTGGACCGCCGTTCAACGCTTACAGAGCTCTGAACCCCTGGTTCTTAAGGACTGGGGTCCCCCCATCACTCCCACCCACTTCAAGAAGGCTGGGGTGGGGGAAGGGGTGTGTCGGTCAAGCCTGAGACGGCAGGCTTCGGGAGACCTCGAGCGACAGGAAGCGTGTGTGTGCTGAACTCCTGCTGCCTGGACCCAGGGTGGGCAGGCCTGGGATCCGGGAACCGCCCCCGCTGCCCCTCCTCCTCCCTCCCCTCCCCCTCGGCCGCTTCATTCACAAACCCTGCCCCGCCCGCCCGCTCCCCGCCGCGGCGGCTTCCGAGTGCAAATCAGGCCGGGATGGGCCGGCGTGGACGCGGGTGTTCTTAAAGGGACAGGGGCCTCCTTTCTCTAAGCTCGTTTCTGCTGGACGGGGCTGGGGGTGGTGAAAGAAGGGTCCCTAGAGTCAAAGGTCAACTCCTTCAGCTCCTAGCCTCCAGGCTTATGGAGTTAAGGGAGTAGGGAAGTGAAGGAGACCCCTAGGTGGCCTCCACCGCCTAGGCCTGAGGACGGAATGGGAGGAGAACTTGAATGTCCAGACCCCCTACTGACCTCTCCTCCTGCCCTAAGTAGCCGGGCTCTTAGGGGCAGCACTGGAGGAGGTTCCGACGTGGGTGTTCCTGGCGGACTCCTCTGTCCTCTCTCTTCTCCCCCCAGCATCCCGCCCCACCCCGCCTCACATCCTTCAAGTTGGGCTTCTCTGGAAGGTTTGCCTAGTGGAGTGAGGGGGGCGGGGATCTCACCCTTAACTCTGACGCAAACAGGAGGCTCGGCTGCGGGGGTGGCATTAAGGGGGGGCAGCAGGAGGCAAGAGGGATGAGGCTTCCAGAAACAGAGACGTGGGGGGAGGACTGTGCTGGATTCTGTGGACCTTATAGAGAGGGACCCGGCTGAGTGGAGAGGAATTGCTGGGAGGGGCAAGGCTGGGGAAGAGGTTGACAGGGGTGGGAGGTAAGGCCCTGAGGTGTAAAGGGAGGTGTGAGGTTGGAGTGAGGAGGAGTAGGAGGCAGGGAGGGGTGGGGAGAAGAAGAAGTGCTGGGTGAGGCCAGTCTCCCAGGAAGAGGTGGGACGGTGCCCAGAGAGAGGAGGGGCTGGGATGGTTGAGCAGGAGAGATGGGAGTGTTGGGGTGGGCTTGGCAGGAGTAAAGCTAGGCTGAGATGGGTTGATGTGTTGCCTGAGCTCAGTTGAGGAAATACCTGCCCCGCCTCCCCTCCACCGGGGACCCACAGGCGTTTGCCAATCCCTACACACATTCATACCCAGACTTGTTCCTGTGTGGACACAAACGCTCAGGATGCACGAAGGCTCCACGCAGACCATGTGCCTGGGAAGGCGCACTCCATAGGCACACGTGTGTACTCAAACGCCTGTGTGAACACAAGCATATACATGTATATAGGACACAGTCTGCCACTACAGATATAGTCCCGGCAACACACGTGTGTGTGTGTGTGTCTGCCAGCATGCATATAGATGTATCCACGTGTGTCTGATGAATGTTCACAATATACATGTCACATAAAGATCCATTCATGTCCAGCTGAGCGCAGTGGCTCAGGCCTGTAATCTCATCACTTCGACTTTGGGAGGCCAAGGTGGGCAGATCACTTGAGGTCAGGAGGTCAAGACCAGCTTGGCCAACATGGTAAAACTCTGTCTCTACTAAAAAAAATACAAAAACTTAGCCAGGCTTGGTGGCGTGCACCTGGGAGGCTGAGGAAGGAGAATCACTTGAATATGGGAGGTGGAGGTTGCAGTGAGCTGAGATCCTGCCACTGTACTCCAGCCTGGGCAACAGAGTGAGACTCTGTCTCAAAAAAAGAGATTCACTCAATTCCTAACGCTCAGACATGTACCCATAAATATCTGTTAAGGTCCCCAACCCCATGAAGCACACATATAGTCATATAAGCATATGTCAAAGCCATGTGTGTACGCACATGACGACTCTTGCCTGGACATTGAAACCACCCCCTTTCAACAAGTGGATGATGATGCCTACAAGTAAATACACATTTGAGTATTTCATTGCACCCAAGTGCATACATGTATGCAGATAAACAAATACAGCTGCCACAGAACGGCATCCATGTACACGTGCAAACATCGATATGTGTGTTTTCCACCTAACATATCACCCACAAGCTCACACACACCAGTGTGTCTCTGATGTAGTGACACCCCACTCCCAGACACACATGTGCAGACTCCCACCTGCACTGAAATGGTGCACATACCCTGCACACGTGCACGCTCATATCCATGTACAGGCAGGCGCCTGCCTGCTCTGGTAAGATGAGCCAACTACTGCTGCAAATATCCAAGCAAGTATAGGCAAATGCAAGCTCTTGTGTATACACCCAGCACCAACACATAGCAGACCACCCTGTATGATTCATGGGCCTTATTTTTGCCCCCTTCATTTACTTATCCATGTGGAGTCCCGCTGCTCCCCAACATTTTAATCCACTCGCGAGGTCCTGGCAGGATCCTGAGGCTGTGAATGGCAAATGCTACCTGGTTTCTTCGTGGAGTCACTCATTTTATTTACGCAACAAGCATTAATTGAGCGCCAACTGTATACCAGGCACTGTTCCTGGTTCTGGGGACCCAACCCTATTCCTATTCACCACCCATGCACCTCCCACGGAGTTAGAATGAAAGAGGTGAGGGAGGGCTAAGGGAGCTGAGGAGTGGGGTATCCAGGGCTCTCTTCCTCTGGGAAGCCTGCCCTGATTGCACCACCACCACCATTTATTTGAGTCTCAGAAGATGTGATGAGGGAGAGATTAGCAGGAGGGAGATGATGCTCTGGGTGGAGGGAACAGCATGAGCAAAACCATGGTGGTGTGAAAGGTCAGTTCCAGATCTTCCTACGTACTTCACAGCATTTTGCACAGGCCACTTGATGTTTTGTTTTGTTTTGAGACAGAGTCTCACTCAAAACTTGTTACTCAGGCTGCAGTGCAGTGGCACGATCTCAGCTTGCTGCAGCCTTGACCTCCAGGGCTCAAGCGATCCTCTCGCCTCAGCCTCCCAAGTAGCTGGGACTACAGGCATGCACCACCACACCCAGCTAACTTTTATTTTTATTTTTTTATTTTTTGCAGAAACAGGGTTTTGCCCTGTTGCCCAGGCTGGTCTTGAACTCCTGGGCTCAAGTGATTCGCCCTCCTCAGCTTCCCAAAGTGCTAGGATTACAGGTGTGAGCCACCACACCAACTGATGTTTTAAACGCTCCATAAACATTTTATGAATAAATGACATGAACAAATCAGTGAATTTAGGTGAGGGCAGGTTTGCTTCACAACTTACAATAATGTCAACAACAAACCCCATTTATCCAGCTTTTGTTTGTTTGTTTGTTTGTTTTGTTTTTTTGAGACACGGTCTCACTGTGTCACCCAGGCTGGAATGCAGTGGTGTGATCTCAGCTCACTGAAACCTCCACCTTCTGGGTTCAAGCGATTCTCCTGCCTCAGCCTCCCAAGTAGCTGGGATTACAGGCATGTGCCACCACACCCGGCTAATTTTTGTATTTTTAGTAGAGATGGGGTTTCTCATTTCTACTAAAAATACAAATACATCTCTAGTGGCCAAGCTGGTCTCGAACTCCTGACTTCAAGTGATCCTCCTGCCTTGGCCTCCCAATGTGCTGGGATTACAGGCTGGAGCCACTGTGCCTGGCCCAGCATTTCATAGGCACAATGTTGAGAATTTTTATGCCTATGCGCTCTTTAACTCTCACAGTAGCCCCATTGTACAGATGAGGAAAACTGAGACTCAGGGAGCTTCAACAACTTGCCTGGTGTAACAAAGCCAGAGGTGGAGCTGACTGACTCCAGAGCCTACTGGGGTTGG